GTGTGTGTGTATCCATGTCTGTCAGTGTGTGTGTGTATCTGTCTGTCAGTGTGTGTGTATCCATGTCTGTCAGTGTGTGTGTGTATCCATGTCTGTCAGTGTGTGTGTGTATGTATATGTCTCTGTCCATGTGTCTGTGTGTATCTAAATGTCTGTGTGTGTGTGTCTGTCAGTGTGTCTTTGTGTGTCTTCTTCCCTATCATTGTGTATGTGTGTCTGTATGTCACTGTGTGTTTATCTGTATGTCTGTCAGTGTTTGTGTGTACCTGTGTGTCTATCTGAATGGGTATCAGTTTGTGTATATGTATATCTGCATGTGTCAGTGTGTGTATCTTTGTGTATGTGTATCACAGTGTGTGCATGTGTGGCAGTGTATGTGTATATGTGCATATATCTCAGCATTCAAACACAACACTACACACAAATAAACACCTGCATGCAAACGTCAACACTACATACAAACACACCTCTGTATCAGACACCAAAATTATATATAAACACACACCTACGTTCAAAAAACAACACTACACATAAATGCATGCTTGCATTCAAATGCAAACACTACATACAAACACACCGCTACAATCATACAAACATACTCCATACAAACACATGCATACAGTCAAACACACAAATACTGCTCCATGCTAAATACAATCCTGCAAGCATGGGGAATCGGTAGAGCCCCAGCTTTCAAAGCATTGTTGAAGTTGCACGACAGATGGGGATCTATCTTTTAGCCATCCTGTGTACATACACAGACTGTCATACAGAGACATACAGTATGTATGTCTCTGTATGACTGTGTGAATGTATTCAAAAGGAATAAACGCAGGCAACACTCCAATAGTAAGGATGGTATATTTATTGATAGGTGAACCACCCCAAAGAAAGTGCGTCGTTTCGGCTCAGCAGAGCCTTGTTGCATGAGCTGAAACATCACACTTTCTATGGGGTGGTTCACCTACCAATAAATATACCATCCTTACTATTGGAGTGTTGCCTGCGTTTATTCCTTTTGAAGACTTTACTGGTGGATCCAGCAATGTCTGCCTGACATGGAGCATCCACCTCTGTTGATGGCCGGAGCATTAACACGGTATCAGTGTGCAGGGTTCTTTGTTTGTCTGTGTATGTATGTCTCTGTATGCCTATCTCTGTTTCTTTATGTCTGTGTATGTATTTCTGTGAGTGCCTGTGTCTTTATGAATGTATGTCTGTGTTTGTACGATAATGTACCTATATGTGTAGATTGTATGACTGTGTTTGTTTGTGTGCCTTTTATGACTGTGTGTCTGTATATCTTTGTGACTGTGTGCCTGAAAAATTATGTCTGTGTGCTTGTATGGTTTTGTGTCTGTATGTTTGTGTATTTGTGCATGTATGTATTTTTGCCTGTATCTATGTCTATGTGGGAGAAAAAGAGAGATAGATAGGGGCTGGCGGGGAAGTAAGAAATACATAAGAGGGGTTGTAGGAGACACACTAAAGGGATATGCAACACTAATGGGGGTAAGAAATTCAAAAGGGGGCTACGAGACACAGAGGTGAAGATGCATTGTTTATTTTTGGGGGGGGGGGCGTCAAAATGCATCTTCGCCTGTGTAGTCAAAAATCCTAGCACCGGCCCTGCTGGGAGGGTAGCCTGGTTGAAGCCTGGTTGTTGGAGGGGGAGACCGACTGTCTCCCCTTTAAATACACCGCTCTGCTGCTGGAGACCGACTGTCTCCCCTTTAGATACACAGTCCTGCTGCTGGAGACCGACTGTCTCCCCTTTAGATACACAGTCCTGCTGCTGGAGACCGACTGTCTCCCCTTTGGACACGCAGCTCTGTCGCTGGGGGGCAGAACCGACCGTCCCTATCCCCTGTGCTGGCAGTGTAGAGACTACGGTCCCATCTGCACCGTTGTGGGGCTTACTGTCTCCCCCTGGTACATGAAGCTGCCGCTGGGGAGAGGGGGTAACAAGCTCCTCTCCCATATATACTTCCAGCCGCGGGGGAGGGAGACAGACTGTCTCTGCTCCCAATACAGAGTCCTGCTGCTGGGGAAAGGAGACTGGGCTCTCTATTCCCGGTAGGACACTCTGCCGCTGGGGAATGGAGACTGGGCTCCCTATTCCCTGCATATCACACTGCCGCTGGGGAATGGAGACTGGGCTCCCATTTCCCTGCAATTCATTCTGCTGCTGGGGGACAGGAGCAACTATCTCTGTCCCCTGTAACTCAGCCTGCCGCTGGGGAATGGAGACTGGGCTCCCAATTCCCTGCAATATCTCCCACTGGGGAATGGAGCTCGGGCTCCCAATTCCCTGCAATATCTCCCGCTGGGGAATGGAGCTCGGGCTCCCAATTCCCTGCAATATCTCCCACTGGGGAATGGAGCTCGGGCTCCCAATTCCCTGCAATATCTCCCGCTGGGGAATGGAGCTCGGGCTCCCAATTCCCTGCAATATCTCCCACTGGGGGATGGAGACTGGGCTCCCAATTCCCTGCAATTTCTCCCGCTGGGGAATGGAGACTGGGCTCCCAATTCCCTGCAATTCATTCTGCTGCTGGGGGACAGGAGCAACTATCTCTGTCCCCTGTAACTCAGCCTGCCGCTGGGGAATGGAGCTCAGGCTCCCAATTCCCTGCAATATCTCCCGTTGGGGAATGGAGACTGGGCTCCCAATTCCCTGCAATTCACTCTGCCGCTGGGGAATGGAGACTGGGCTCCCAATTCCCTGTATATCACACTGCCGCTGGGGAATGGAGACTGGGCTCCCAATTCCCTGCATATCACACTGCCGCTGGGGAATGGAGACTGGGCTCCCAATTCCCTGCATATCACACTGCCGCTGGGGAATGGAGACTGGGCTCCCAATTCCCTGCAGTACCTGTCGCTGGAGTTCTTCCCAACGTGCCAGCTGACCTTCTCTTTCTGCCCGGTGTTGCAGATTCTTGAACACTAGGTTCCTCATGGACTGCACACATTTCTCAGCTGGATTGGGTCCAAAGAAGTTCAGCCGCAACCACATCATACGGTCATACTCTCTCATAGAGTATCTGTACTCCACTGCTGGTTCCATCCTGGTGCTGTCAGGGTCGCTGTACTCAGACATGCGTTGCCCTCAAATTGTAAATCCACAGAATGGTGTTGCCTGTAGCTGTCCTGTAGTCTGTGGGAACGATCCCGCCGCTTGCCACCAATTGTAACGGACCGTTTTGCACACAAGGGGAAAAAACCGTTTAGGCGATCGGCCCCCTTTCCAGAGATCCAGGCACAGCTACTGCAGAACACCAAAACTCACGAACTGGATACAAAATAGCACTCCAACTCCCGAACTGGAACCTCCCAAATAGCTGCTAGCAGACGAACAGGAAAAGCAGGCGAACAGCTTACACTCCTGGCAATCAGTCTCTAACAGCATACAGTGAATCCCCCCAAGAACGAGACAAGGCTCCGTGTTGAGGGTCAAACAGTGGTCTGAGGTGCTGGCACACCCAGCCTGGTTTTTATTACAGTCTTGCAAATACAGGACCGCCCACAGGGAGGTATAAAACAACCAATCACATCACGGTTACATCCCACATATTCCCTCCCCTTATCCTGAGAGGAAACTCAATTATACATACAGTTAAAACATACTTTCTACCTTTCACTTAACTCTAAAACCATACATCACATTCACATAAAATTTACATATTCACAATCAATCCATTCAGGGAACAACATATTATTAAAAAATGGCATAGAATCAGACCAGAGTTCCAAAAGGAAGTTAGTAAAAGTCCTTTGTGACTAAATGAAGCAACTTTCTGTAAACCAGTTTCAAGAGTCTTCTATCCTGGAAGTAATTCAATTATCTCCCAGGACAGACACAAGACTCCATTAAGCACATGAATTTGCAAAAGACACAAGGAACAGTAAACACACTTTAAAATACACCAGGTAAGACACATTACATTAAAACTATACATTTAACATATCCCCAGATAGCTCAGGTCTGAGCGCACATTATTAAGTGAATGGTGCTCAGACCACACGAATACAGTTTAATCGCCATGGAGCCAAAGTCTTTACAGTCAGTTTCATACGAATGGGTTCCATGGGATTCCTATCTGGGGTATAACACATTCAAACAAATCTACCGAACCCCAGGCAGAAAAGCACGAATGAAGCTTTTCTGCAGGTAAAAAAAGATGTCTTTTAAAAGGGGGCCATAGTCCAAAGGCAGCAGGCGAGCAACCAGGCTTCTCCAATGCAATGTGGCGAGATTGGTCTCGTCACAATATATATAATACATAACTGGTAATAAATATAGTCAGCCATGACAGGTACATTCTGCATTGAGGTATGTTGTCATAGTTTTTCAAGAGATATTTTCAATGTGAAGGCCAAAGAATAGATTGGGGTCTAGATATTTAAAAGAGCAGACTGCTGTCAGTGTGCTATATGAATTTGTTCTGATACACGGTTGTTGATTTTGTAGTTTGCGTAATTTAGGTACAATTCCAAAGTGTCAGGATTACAGAATGATCCAGCACGTAGAATTGTGTAACACAGAGGAAAGATAGGTAACGTATACCGGACCTTAGAATAGCCGGAATAACGTACCAAAGAATAGTCAGGAATAGCCGAGGTCAAGGGAAACAGAAAGAGACACAACTGGACTATGATCAGAGAAGTCATAGTCAACATTGTTCCTAGCAAACTCGGCCCATGGTAGTAATTCGGACCAATTGTCTTGAGTGCTATTAATGAAACAATGCAAATATAATTCCAAGGACTGGTTAGCCCTCTCAGTTGTACCATTGGTCTGGGGGTGGTAAGAGGATGAAAAAGACAATTCAATCCCTAATTGTTTAATGAAGGCCCTGCAAAAGCGAGACACAAACTGAGAG